ATAAAGAAAAATAAAGAAAAAGGTTAAAAAATCCAAACAAAAGTCACCTTCAATTTACTTACCAAGATGTGAAATTTTCCAAAAAATCACTAACGATTTGCTTACCTTAATTCCAAGATAAGAAATTTCCTAAAAAAAAATAAGAAAAAGAAAGGAAAATGATAAATTTTCATCCAAAAAGTCACCAACGATTTGCTTACCTTAATTCCAAGATGAGAAATTTCCTAAAAAATATAAGAAAAAAGAAAAGAAAAATGGTAAATTGTCACACTAACAATTTGCTTACCTTAATTTCAAGATGTGAAATTTCCTAAAAAAAATGAGAAAAAAGTAAAAGAAAATGGTCAATTTTCACCTAAAAAGTCACTAACGATTTGCTTACCTTAAAAAATTTAAAATTTCCTAAAAAAAAAAAGAAAAAAAGAAAAATGGTAAATTTTCACCTAAAAAGTCACTAACGATTTGCTTACCTTAATTCTAAGATGAGAAATACCTAAAAAAAAAAAATAAGAAAAAGAAAGGAAAATGGTAAATTTTCACCAAAAAATCATCAACGATTTATTTACATTAATTCAAGATAAAAAATTTTTTAAAAAAATGAGAAAAAGAAAGGAAAATGGTAAATTTTCACCTAAAAAGTCACTAACGATTTACTTACCTTAAAAAATTTCCTAAAAAAAAAAAGAAAAAAAGGAAAATGATAAATTTTCACCCAAAAAGTCACTAACGATTTGCTTACCTTAATTTCAAAATGAGAATTTCCTAAAAAAAATAAGAAAAAGAAAAGGAAAATAATAATTTTCACTAAAAAATCACCAACAATTTGCTTACCTTAAGAAATTTCCTAAAAAAAATAAGAAAAAGTAAAAAAAATGGTAAATTTTCACCCAAAAAGTCACCAACGATTTGCTTACCTTAATTCTAAGATGATAATTTTCCTAAAAGAAAATTTACCTAAAAGTCACTTCTGATTTACATTTCTTATTTTCAAAAATGAGAAATTTTTTAAAAAGACAAGAAATCTAGAACAAAAAATCCGCCCAAAACTTGCTTTCGATTTACTTATCTTATTTCCAAATGAGAATTTTCCTACAAAAACAAGAAAAAGAAAGGAAAATCCACCCAAAAACTTATTTCTGATTTACTTATTTTTAAAGTGAAAATTTTCCTAAAAAAAAAACAAGAAAAAATAAAAAAATAGTAAATTTTCACCTAAAGAATGATTTACCACATTTTCGAAATGAGAATTTTCTTAAAAAAAAATGGTAAAAATCTTCAAGATAAAAAAAAAATACAGAAAAAAGAAAGGAAAAGGGTTAAAAAAAAGGAAAAAATTTTTTTCAGATTAATCCGAAAGTTTCTAGCTAATTGGATGATTTTTGTATTATCCAATTGAAACATCGTTTCTATTGAATGATTTGTATCGTCCCTTAGGGGACAATGATTTGATCGTTCCAATTGGATCATCCGATTAGAATGATGATGTTGATTTAAACGATAGTGTATTGTTCCAAAGGGACAATAGTTTGATCATTCCAATCGAATAATTTTGCATCATCTGATTGGAACGATGAATTATTCAAATCGAATGATCATTGTTCCAAAAGGAACAATATTGAATCATTCTTATAGAATGATAATCGTTCTAAAAGGAATGATGTTGAATCATTCTTAATGAACGATCATCATTCCAAAAGGAACAATTTTTTATCATTCAAATCGAACGATCATTGTTCCAAAAGGAACAATTTTTTATTGTTCTTTATGAACAATGATCTATCGTCTCTTTGGGATGATTTTTTTTATCGTTCAATAAGAACGATGATGTATTATCCCTTTGAAATGATTTTCTTGATCATTCAATAAGAACGATGATGTATCGTTCCTTTGAAATGATTTTGTTGATCGTTCAATAAGAACGATGATGTATTGTCCTAAAGGGATGATTTTTAATTGTTCTTATTGAAACGATAGATCTATTGTCCCTTTAGGATGATTTTTTAAATCGTTCAATAAGAACGATGATTCATTGTCCCAAAGGGACGATTTTTAATTGTTCTTAATGAACGATAATGTATTGTCCCAAAAGGAATGATTATCTTTATCATTTCTTAGAAATGATTTGTATTTTTTCTTAAGAATAATTTCTATTGTTCCTTTAGGACGAAGTTTCCAATTGGACGATTTTTGTATTATCCAATTTAACTAATCAGAATTGAAATTTTGGCTTAACTCTAATTAACTATAAATCGGACAGGTTGATTTAGGTTGATTTTTGGCTATTGATGATTATGTCCGATTGACGAATGATTGATGGATAATTTATCACATGTCTGATTTTTTTGATTTCAACTAGTGTTATTAAAATTTGATTTCAAAAAGTAAAAAATTTGTAGAAAATTGTCAGTGATACAAGTATGTTGATCATTTCCAAAAAAGTATTTTTTTCAGCATAACCTGTTACATATTTCAGACATGTTATTTCAGACATGCTAGAACTTTAAATTACATTTTTAGAAATGATTGACAAATGATTATCATATGAGGCCTTTGTAATAGAAAGGAGGGAAACTGCCAGAAAAATCAAAAATGAGTTAATGCTAAATTTGAACATATTTCAGCCTAAAAATCATATTTATAAAAGTAAAATTAATTTTTCCCGGTAGTTTCCCCCCTTTCTATTGCAAAGACCCCATATGTGCTATAGATAATTATTTAGACTTAAAAATTTTATATGTAAATGTATTTTTGTCATTCTGCAAGTTTTGCAGTAAAATTTGACTTAAACACCTTTTTTGAAAAAATACATCACATATTTAAGCCATATAATCAGTATAACCTGTCATACATTAAAGGTGTATCAGAACAGGGACAATGATTTTCTATGTTTACAGAATTTTATAGGAAATGGTTATAAAAATGATAATAATTTTTAAGATTTAGGATTTGCAATTATTATAATGTTAGTTAACATTAAATTTGACCAGAATTTGTGAACAGTAATGTTAGCTAACCTTGTATAATTCTGGTCAAATCATAGAATTTTGCAGAATTAACTTTTATCACACATAGAATTCATCCTTAATCACCGCAGATCTTACCCAAGAATTTTCATCCCCATATGATATGCATCCCTTTCTGATTTCATTTTTACTATATATTCTAGGAACTGAGAAAATTTTCACCACTAAAAAATTTTGTTTCACTCCCCCTTAAATGTCACCAATCACGTGGGGGTGGAAAATTGCTTATAAACTTTGGGTTAAATAATTACACAGAATGTCATTACAGGATTTTGGCAGACATTAATTAGCCAATCACCTTTAGAATTTAACTGGCCAAAAGAAATTTTACTGCGCCTGCGGCCAAATAATACAATGAAAATTTTTTTTTTTTAAAAAATTTAAACTCTTAATTTAATACTCAAAAATGGATCCATCACAAGTTCCAAACCTTTACAAGCAGCAGCGGGGTCCTCCTAAGGTACATTTTTCTCGTTTTGAAAGATATATATATATATTTCTTCATGCCAAGCTTAACTTTTTAATTCCTCGTATAGATCAAAAACAAAAACCCTGCACCGATTCAAATTACGGCCGAGCAAATTCTTCGTGAAGCTAAAGAGAGACAAGAATCAGCAAAGAAAGCACCCCGTCAAAAGATTTCTGACTTGGAAGAATTGTCAGAATATCGTCTACGTAAAAGAAAAGAATTTGAAGATGCAATAAGAAGGAATAGATTAAATATCGGAAGCTGGTTAAAGTATGCGACATGGGAAGAGAGTCAAAAAGAATTGAATAGGTGTTTACTTTATTCTGAACTATTTTATATTGTATTATTCATTTAAGGTACATGTTTATTCTAAATTCGATTTATTTTCTTTATAGAGCACGTTCAATTTATGAAAGGGCCTTAGATGTAGATTCACGTAATGTTACTCTTTTTATTAAATATACCGAAATGGAAATGAAAAATCGCAATATCAATCATGCTAGAAATTTGTTTGATCGTGCGGTTACTTTATTACCACGAGTTGATCAATTTTGGTGAGGTTCTTTTAATATTTAAATATAAAAACTGTTTATTAGTTCGGTTTAAAATTGATATGTATAAATTAATTCTTAAAGGTATAAATATACTTATATGGAAGAAATGTTGGGAAATGTTGCAGGAGCACGTCAAATATTTGAACGTTGGATGCAATGGGAACCGGATGAATCCGCATGGAACGCTTATATAAAAATGGAAAAGAGATATGGAGAAATTGATAGGGCAAGGGCTATTTATGAGAGATTTGTTAATGTGCATCCGGAACCAAAAAATTGGCTTAAATGGGTTAAGTTTGAAGAGGAGCAGAATGACTTGGGTAAACCTTTTTTCGTGAATTTATAAATAGTTTAAATTATAAATTCTCACAATAATCGTCGATTATTATTTTATATTGTACATAGAGAAATGTCGAGAGATTCTTAGTCATGCCATTGAAGTATTAGGTGAAGATCATATGGATCAAAAAATTTTTATAGCATTTGCAAAATTTGAGACGAAGTTAAAAGAGGTATATAGCCACATTATTATGATTTATTTATTTATTTTGAGTTAATTCTAACAACCTATATATATATATATTTCGATGATCCCATAATTTATAGTTTGAAAGAGCACGTGTTATTTATAAATATGCTTTGGATAAACTATCTAGATCTAAATCCGAATCACTATATAACGCGTACACTCAATTTGAAAAACAATATGGTGACAAAGATGGAATAGAAGACGTGGTAGTTGGAAAGCGGAGGATACAATATGAAGAGGTATTAATAATATTATTTAACGTGAAAAATTTTGATTAACAAACTCATTTTTTTATTTTTCTAAGGAATTAAGAACAAATCCAAAAAATTATGATATATGGTTTGATTACGCGAGATTGGAGGAAAATGCAGGCGATGCCGAAAAAGTTCGTGAAATTTACGAACGCGGCATTGCACAAGTGCCTCCGACACAAGAGAAAAGATTCTGGAGACGATATATATATTTATGGATAAATTACGCGTTGTATGAAGAACTTGAAACTAAAGTAATTATCGTAATGATTAATAAGGCATTCTAAAATTAAAATCACCTATTTTATTGTAAATATATAATCTTTCTGTATTTAACTAAATCTTTTTAATAAGGATTACGATCGAACTCGTCAAATTTATCAAGCATGTCTGAAGATAATACCCCACAAGAAATTCACATTTGCAAAGATATGGTTATTATATGCACAATTTGAAACAAGACGATTGGACTTACGGATAGCTAGAAAGTTTTTGGGAATGGCAATAGGTTATTATATAATATATATTTTATTTTAATGTATAATGTTTGTTGTTTTTATCCCTAATATTCCTTGTATACAGGAATGTGTCCAAAGGATAGGCTCTTTAAGGGATATATTGAACTTGAATTACAGGTAAAGAATATAATAAATTATTTAATCATCATATTTACAGATTTTAATTTTTAGTTTTTTTTTTTTTAAAAAAAAAAATGATTTTAATTCAAAGTTACGAGAATTTGACCGTTGTCGTACTCTGTATACTAAATATTTGGAACATAATCCATCCAATTGTTATGCATGGATTAAATTCGCAGAACTAGAAAAGATGTTGGGTGATTATGATCGATGTCGTGCAATATTTGAATTGGCTGTAGAGCAACCAGTTTTAGATATGCCAGAGTTGTTATGGAAGGCGTATATTGATTTTGAATTTACAGAAGAAGAATTTGAAAAGACACGTCTTTTATATCAACGTTTATTGGAAAAGACTGGTCACGTTAAAGTTTGGATTAGTTTTGCACAATTTGAATTGAATGCAGACGAAGGAGACAGGAAAGGTGCTTTAGAAAGAGCACGAAAAGTATTTGAAACAGCTTACAAGAGTATGAAAGAAAAAGAATTGAAAGAAGAGGTAGTTTGAATTTTTGTGAATATGATTAATAATAGATTTTATATAAAATAATCCATTAATATAATTTCTTTTATATATATATATATATATATAGCGCGTTCTGCTACTTGAATCATGGAAGGATTTTGAAAGCAATCATGGCACTCAAGAAACACTATCAACCATAGAAGCTAAGATGCCTAAAACCGTCAAGAAGCGACGTAAGATTGATGAAACTGAAGGACAGACAGGTGTTGCTTGGGAAGAATATTTCGATTATATCTTTCCTGATGATCAAACTCAACAACCGAATTACAAACTTTTGGCAACGGCACATGCTTGGCAACAAAAGGTTTGTAAAACATTATTTGCTATTATAAAAATTGAGGTGATTAAAATTGAAATTTTTTTTCATTTTATTATAGCAACAACAGCAGCAGAAAAAGTAAATATGTTCATAATTGATTCATAGAAAAATAAAAATAAAAATAAAAATATATAATAATAATAATTTCTTTACATATTTCCTGATAATAAATAAATAAATATATTTTCTTACTGTGTTGTACTTCTATTACGATTAAAAGGCCATCCCTTCATGGTCATTCTTCTTTCACCAAATACTATTGATCCTTTACGTTCTTTAAGTGTGTGTCGTTTTTCAATGACTGGTATTTCTGTAATTGTATCGCCATTAAGACTATTGGGATGATAGTTCCCGTTACTTCCTTCCGAAGATTCAGACATCCGTTTAGTATAATTAATCGAATGATTTGACATATTGCCTTGAGTACTTATGGAATTACGTGAATTATTGAAAGTTGCAGCGGCTGCTACACGCGTTATAACCGATGAGTTTGTAGGTTGCATCGGTGATGTCTGTTAATTATTCGATATAAAAAAATTTGTTGGTATTGAAAGCAAAAAAAAAAAAAAAACCAGAGATCGTGATAATGTTATTACCTTTGGCTCAGCCAAGTTTCTACGTTCTGCTAACCGATTTATTTCTTCTGTAAAGTTTTTTAGGAAAACTTTTGTTTTGATGGGGGAGGGAAAAAATAAAAATTTATATAACAACCTTATTAATATATCAATCAATCAATAACTGTTACCTATAATATATACATACATTTAACCAAAGTATCGTGTAAAGGTCGCATGTCTGCAGAAACGAGACGATCATGTATTTCCAAACATCTATCAATAATATCAACCTATATATATATTTATATTTATATATTTTTAACAAAAATATTTCATTAAATTTTTTCTTGACAATAAAAAAATACAATAAAATAAAATAAAATTATAATTAATGTTAACCTGTTCATCAATAGATTCTTTTAATTGTTTTACAAACACTACTTTATCCGGATTAGATTCTAAAAAGTCATCTCCAAAGAATGCTTTTTTGTACATTGGAACACCTCCATTAACAGGTGCATCTACCGCCCCATTCAATGACATCGATAAGGGATTAGTATTGATTTTACCAACACCCTTGGATGATGTGAGAAAAGCATGATATTTAGCTTCTAACATTTTCAATTCGCGATTCTTAGCGTTCATAGCTGCCACTGCATTTTCAATTGGAGAAACTTCAATCACAGTATTTTCAATTATTTCAGAACGACGAAGCACGGTTGGGAAATGATCTTCTGAAACCATGATGGTTTTTTCGGTCCATAAATCCAAAAATTCATTTGAGGATTTCACACCGTCAGGATTTTTATTTACGGGTCTTGAAAAACTAAATGTATTTACTGAATTGTGTTCATAATACGCTCTGATGGATGAAGGAACACCACTCTTGAAAACAGGATGATTACTATCAGGTTCAGGTACAACAGCGGTAACCTGTAAAAATTGCCCATCTTCATAAAGTATCTCATCTGAAGGGGTACTATTTGATTTTAATAATGCTGCTTGGGAATGTTTATTTAACATACGCTCACAAAAAGCTCCAATTTTCTCCCATTCATAACCACGATAAATAAATTGTCTATTTTGTAAACTTGAAGGAAATCCTCGACCATAAAATCCTACACGGAAATATTCGCTGAAATATCGTTCCTTCTTAATTACATTCTCGTGTAAAACAGCTTGTTGCTTTAATATGTTACTTAGACGTTGATAATCATAAGTCGTATATTCAAATTGACGAGCCAATTCCTTACAAATCTCAATCCCACATTCCCAAGCTTTGCCCTTAACAAAATAGTCCAATATTTGTATATATAACCGTTCCTTCCTATCAAACGGCGATTGTTTTGGGAAATCCATTTCAGGTAATGCTTCGACTTCGGAGTTTGGATCCCAATCATATAAGTCTGAATGTAATTTAAGAGTTAATGCGGCTTCTACAAAATTATGACTATGAACTTGCAACTGAACGAGCTGGTGTACATATTTAATATAAATTTGTTCTCTTTCAATAGATTTTATGAATTTCATCAATTTCAATGTACACATTATTCGATCATCCTGGAATTCTTCACCCTCTGGCAAATCACGAACACCTAATAATAACTCCAAGAATTCGCTAAGTGAATCTAAAAATTTCATTACGGTTTCACGTAAAGCTTTTTCAACCGTGGCATTTTCAAAAAGACTACGTAACTGAGCTATAAAATATGATCGTGATATTTCATCTCCTTTATTCTCTGACATAAATAATTTATCTAAAGTATCAATAATATCCGATTCCATTTGTTTGAAATTCTCATCCATTGTATACTGAGTAACAATCATACTAAATAATACTGTTATGGCGGCGGTACGTAATTCATCATGATGAGATAAACATAACTCTAAAATTGGTCCCAATAACGTATTAATGAACCGAACCTGATATCCACCCATTTTCCCATCCTTGCCATGCTCCCATCCTATAGCATCCCATAATGTGGACAATAATTTTGCGGCTCTTCCTCGAAGATCTCCAGCCAAGCGCCATATTGCACGACGTTTTTGTGGTGTAAAATTTTCAATTATTAGATGTTTACTTGTTAACAAGGCTAGTAAGCAATTGAAATACTCCCGCCACAATTGTTCGTTAAAAGTATCTGGTGCATCTTTGTCAGGAATGTAATTCTTTTCCATTAAAGATGAAATAGGCTCAAGAAATTTTAAAAATACTTTATGAGCCATTATATTCATGTTCAACCATGACTCCGGAAAAGCTTCATTTAAAAGTATAGATCGAGAAACCTGGAATAATAAAGTTAAAAAGTCTGCTGTTGCATCATGCCCTTCCCTATAATAAGTAGATAGCAAATGTTCCTTCATATGTTCCTGAGATAATAAAAACATGATCTGTAGTATTACAGCGGCTATTTCTCCTAATCCTGATGAGAATGAACTCTGTAATGGAGAGAGTAAAAATTCCTTTGAATGTCGGTATGAGCTCAAGGTAGGTGTCGGTGTGGTTAAACCGGATAATGGGTATGACCAGGAAAACATCGCCGAAGATAATACAGCGCCACTGGACGCAGTTCTTTCTCGTTGAGGATGTATCTCATCAGCCGTAATATGCAACTCTCGGTATGACTCGCAGAGTTTTATGACAAGTGGTAGGATGACCTTTACATTTTCAATTTCACACTCCTTAGTTCCTTCTTCGGTTGATCTTTCGATTGAACATTGTAAACTTTCCAACATAACAGCAATAATGGTCACACATAACCGTATACCATCTTGCCATTGCATCCTTGCAGAATCACTGTCACCATTTAGTTTTCCGGTTCTTTCCCATTTGCCCATATGATCTGCAACCCACTCAACGACTCTTCGTAAAAGGATTGCGCGAGATTCCGCATTTTCAAATAAAGTTCCACGACAAAATTGAAGAATTACCAATAATTTATATGCTAATAATTTGCCTTTTGGCAACCTTACTGATTCCGTAAACCGTATTGCTATCTGTACAAGATCTTCGGGAGTAAAACATTTTCCAAGATCTGCAAAAATGGAAGCGAAATGTTGTAATGCTAAAGTTTGCGTGCCAATTATGGATTGAGGTGTTGTGATAGACATTAACTTGTCAACACTCCTAAATAAAGCAAATAGATCTTTTTTGAATTGTTCTTCAACATAATTACCAGACAATCCCATATTGGATTCTTTTGTTCGTTGAAGTTCACGAGATCGCATTATTATCTTAAAAATGTATTGCCAGACCTTTATAGCAGAACGTAAACTTTGAGCAGTTTCTGGACTAGTTGGATTAGATACAAGTCGATTCATAGAACGTATTAAATGAGAAGACGCTGCCGCACATGAAAAATGATTTTCAATATATACATCAAGCACTGGCCTAAAGTTCATAAATCGTCTATCAGATACGATCCCAAGTATTGTAACAAGGGCATTGAATATTAAATCATCAAGTTCTCCATGTTGATTTCTTGTTGAGACAAGTATACCAAAAAGTGCATCAAAAATATCCTGGAGAAATTTAACTATCTCAACCTCACCTACAAAAGTGAATTTCTTCAAAACCGACATCATCTCGTTCATATCTGACATAAGCTGCTTTTCCCAATTTAATAATTTAAGGAGAACTTCATTTTGTGTGTATTTTGTTGAACATAAAAATGTCCCAATTACTACTGTATCTTTAGACGAAGGAATCATTTTATGTGAAGAATGTGAATTTACAGATGAGTGTGTTGAAACGGTATCAGAAACTGTCGCCGTAGGAGTCCATGATGCTTTAAGATATACAGAGGGATTTATCCATTGCTTATCATATTTATACAAAATGAGTGAATGTTTTCCATCACTTATAAATGCTCTATTTTCGGGAAATAAAGGCATATATGCAAATGCGAAAAATTTATCCTCCTTTTTATCTTTTGTAGAACGATGACGGAAAGTAAAAAATACATGTGATTGTTCAAATAATTCGACTGGTATATTTAATTTGATTAATTCACCCCATAAAGGGTTATTGGAATGATAAAAAACTAAGGAATCGAATTGTGTAACTCTAGGTTCACCAGCTCCTTGTGAGATCACATTTTCCAAAACTTCACCTGTGTTTAATTTTACTTCGGCTGTCATTTGAATATTTTTTGCTGTTGTAGCACGACCTTGCGTGAAATCTCCTGACAAAAGCTTGAGATAAATTTCATTTCTCGTGTCTCCGGGGAATACAACATCAGCAAATCCAAGACGTGATGTAATCGGAATATCTTGAAGCAACGCAGGATTTTCTTTGATAATAGTTGTAGTCTCACCATAATACGGTCTAAGCGAGACACTGACCATTTCAGCACGTGGTGACCTTTCAAGCTCTTTAGCACGGCTATTTATAATTTCTTCGTGCAAGGTAGCAAATGTTGACTCTTGAACAGGTACATATATGGGCATCACATGTTCACTGAGAGTTTCCTTTTCTTTCCCTTGAAGAAGGTGACTTATTTCAAGAACAGCACAACCAAAAGGCCTACGGAAAGTTTGTGGTGTCAATCTTCCATTGGATATCGATATCTGATCAGCTTGATCCATATCCTTTGTTTGTTTAGAAAATAATGACGTCATTGAACCACCTTCCTTTGTATTTTCTTTATCTTTATCAGCCAACTTCATACTTCCAGTACGTACAATTCTGCACACAAGGTAAATTTGTTCCTGTATGTCATGAGGCGAAAGATCTGTAAAAATGGTCCGAATTTTACCAATTTTGCTTTCGTCTTTTGGAACACCATTATGATTTAGTATAATGAAATATTCTTCTGTAATAAATTTTGAATCCGTTTTTGTGTATAAAGAAAAATAAAGTTCGGTGTATTCACCAGGAGCTGAAATAGAAGCAACCCAAGCCTTTAAATCTAAAAATACATGATAAAATTTCGGCGTATGACTAACATTATCAGTAGTCGTTGAACCTTGTGAATGAAAATAATTATTTCCGGAAGGTGTCAACAAGGAAGGGCTTGTAGGACTCATAAGAAGTGGTTCAGATTTTGATTTATCCACATTTAAAAGAGACAACTGAGACTGCAATTGATAAAGTCGAATAGCAGATATATTAGTCTCGTCAGCCAAAAATCCTCTTTCCGGATTTCGTACAATTATATCCAAATCTTGAACTAAATTTCCAGAAACTAATTTGTTAATGAGTTCTTTGCGTAATTTACTCAATTCATCTTGGGATAAAGTCTGCGCTAGTAATTGACGACGTCCTTGTAATAGATTATTTATTTGATCTTTAACTGTTCTGAACATGTTGTACTTTCGCTCTTCAAGATATTTTGGTAAAAGGCTACTCCATTCTCTCACCGTGCTAGCAATCTCATCTACCAATGGTTCAGTTTTACCACTTATTGTATCGTCACCGCATTTAAGAGATGGTAAAGGAGGGGGAGGACGAATAATCCGTTCACCTTCCGGATTGGAATCGCTACTATTTGTATTATTTACTTCGAATTCTAAATCTTCTAAATATTCCTTTATATAGACGTGATTCATCGGAAAAATCCCAACATAAACTTGAGGTTCCTCCGTTTGACGTAATTGGGAGACGACATAACCACGATACCAAGCTCCTTGTTCCTCAAAAACGTATACTTCATCACCAACTTCGAGACTAACTTGGTATGATATAATATATGAATTTGAATTTTCAGAGGATATCGATGATGTGTCAGATGAACCGTTTGTATAAGACAAACCATTAGAGTCGATAGCTTCAGGAATAGGTGTTTCTTCGTGTTTTTCTGAAGGATCAATCGGAGAATTATCTTGAATATCTTCTTGAGATTCTTTTGTTGAATCAGACGAATTTGTTTGTGCCCCAGGTGTGAAAGGATATATGGCAAACCCATATCCAAATCTGGGCAAGGGTGTCCAAACGGGTGTTGGTGTCATTTTTAATTCCATGCGATTACAATTAAATATTTTAAAAGTAAATTCAAAAAAAAAGTGATCTATGCGTTATCTTGATGGAGAAAACGTTTCTTGCTTTGTGGTTTCGTTATGCGAAAAGCAATACGATGTATTTTATTTGTTTAGGATTCGATTGTCGAAAGGAATGATAGGAGTAAGCAAGTTGTAATATAAAGGAAGGTCTTCCAACTGTCCGCGAGAATTTTTTTTTTTTTAAAAAAAAAAATAAAAATAAAAACAAAAAAAAAACATTAAAATGCAATCGCAAAAAAACTCCCAAAAGTGGATCGTGTACTCCACCTGCAAGGTGACTTGCACCGTTATGATTCTCCTAATTGAAAGGAGATGATGGAAAAGTTAAGCGTTTAAAATTAAAAGAAAAAACATACAACATAAGGTTCAGCGTAGGCCATGCAATATATGAACATACACGCTACCACCACGTTTTTTTGATTATATCATTTTGGTAATACACACTGATTTATTTTTTCCAGAAACGAATATAATTGATGGTCATTTTCCTCGCATGAATCAGATCTATGTTTATCTATTTTATCTATCAAAATATTCAAAATTTATAAAATTGTTCTTAAAAGCCGTTTTTTCCTTTAGAGTATTTTATAAGATAGAACGAAATTTATAAAATAAAAAACAGTAATTCATAAAAATGTCTAGTTATATCTCTTCAGAATACCAAACAAATCCCTCAGAGTTGTCGGCAGATTTGCTTGACGAAAATTGTTTAAACTTGAATATTAGCGAAATACTTGAAGACATGGATAAGGCAGAGGGAGCATTAAATGAACTTGATGGGAGACTTGATAACCTAAATGCTAAAATAGATGTGCTGCTCGAAGAACAAACTCCTAAATTCGAAGATGAAATAAAGCCAACTGAAGAGGAGAAAACTGAAGAGAAACAATCTGAAGAGAAATCCGATGAAGAAAATTAGATTAACTATAATATTTAATATACTAGTTTTTTAAGATTTAATAGAAATTCATTCAACTCCTGTGGTTACACGAAATTACGAATATGACGAATTTTATTTTTGTTTTTTTTATTCAGGTAATAAATTCGAAAATGTAGCTTATTTTTAAAAATCATTACTATTATTGAACTTAATTATATCTTGTATACTAATTGTTAAGTATCTAATAAAGGTTTATCATAAATCAATTAAAAATTTTAAAGATTAGATTTTTTTAGAATCATTAAACCAATGTTGATTGATCACATGCGATCTTGCGGAAAGATCTAAGAAAGTGGCGATAGCATTTATTTGCCCTGATGCTAATAAGTATTTTTTTCTTATGTTTTGACATTAGGATTACATATATGTAAACACATAATGATGAATATTTTCGTGATAAATAAGAATACACATCCTGTAAATTAATTTTAAAAAATTATCATTACTCTCCCGATGGTAATTCATATTATCTTAAATCGAAAAATGTGATCCCATAATGTACAATAGTCCTATAAATTTAATATCAAAAAAAAAAGACTAATAGATTGTGAATATCTATCTATATCTCTCAGCTTGATCAGTTAATTAAAATTTCGGCTCTTTTTAAAATTCGATTGCAAATAATATTTAATCTTCAGTAATTTTCCTCGGGCGTACATCATTTCGAATTGGAATTTTTAACCCCTGCTTTGCAAAAGCTTTGGATAGTTCCGTTGATTCTGAATGTATTTGATATTATCAGCATCGTAGCTTGTAAGAAAGATTTATAACGAATTTTCCTTACCTGTCATCCCAGGAAATTTTTTTGCTGAATATACAGTAAAAGGGTCGGAGTACGTATTAGCGATTATTTCTGTTCTTGTATTAATTAGTCGGTCTTCACTATAAAATTAATGCATATTCATTTCTGTGGAAAAAAAGAAATTTCTTAGAAAAATCATGATGATACTCACGTTCCCAGCTTCATCAAAGAAAATTTTAGAGTATATTTCCCTTCTGTACGTATAGAGAGATCCGGAAAACAAAAGTAACATCCTTGTTCTCCTGTGGTATTCTTAAGAATAGCTGGAGAAGAAACAAGTGATCCCATAAGTACTCGCGTTGTTTTTGGTGGGTTGCTAATCACATTTCGTTCTTCTCGACCATCTTCAGACCAAAGTGTAACATGAAAGAAGAAAAAAGGATTTTGCAACATTCTGATGTATATTTATATAAAAGAACAAATGATTTCATTACGAATAAAATTATCAGTATATTTAAGGAATATAGAAAAATACATGTTAGTAAATGCACACAACCTTAAGTTCTTGCTACATATTGAAAATTACAAAAGTTATTTGTTCAAAATAATGGAAACCGTTGTTAAGTCCGGAGCATAAGTAACGGAAAGATTCAATCGATATCGACTCAATTTTTGAGCGGTCGGAAAATTTTACACTTTGCGTAGACATAAATAGATATTCATTCAACTCATGTGGTTACACGAAATGACGAATATGACGAATTTTATTTTTGTTTTTTTATTTAGGTAATAAATTCGAAAATGTAACTTATTTTTAAAAATAATTACTATTATTGAACTTAATTATATCTTATATACTAAATTTTTAAGTATCTAATAAAGGTTTATCATAAATCAATAAAATGATTAGGATTATATGTAATTCAATATTAACTCTTGTAGTTACACAATGATGAATATTTTCGTGATAAATAAGAATACACATCCTGTAAATTAATTTTAAAAAATTATCATTACTCTCCCGATGGTAATTCATATTATCTTAAATCGAAAAATGTGATCCCATAATGTACAATAGTCCTATAAATTTAATATCAAAAAAAAAAGACTAATAGATTGTGAATATCTATCTATATCTCTCAGCTTGATCAGTTAATTAAAATTTCGGCTCTTTTTAAAATTCGATTGCAAATAATATTTAATCTTCAGTAATTTTCCTCGGGCGTACATCATTTCGAATTGGAATTTTTAACCCCTGCTTTGCAAAAGCTTTGGATAGTTCCGTTGATTCTGAATGTATTTGATATTATCAGCATCGTAGCTTGTAAGAAAGATTTATAACGAATTTTCCTTACCTGTCATCCCAGGAAATTTTTTTGCTGAATATACAGTAAAAGGGTCGGAGTACGTATTAGCGATTATTTCTGTTCTTGTATTAATTAGTCGGTCTTCACTATAAAATTAATGCATATTCATTTCTGTGGAAAAAAAGAAATTTCTTAGAAAAATCATGATGATACTCACGTTCCCAGCTTCATCAAAGAAAATTTTAGAGTATATTTCCCTTCTGTACGTATAGAGAGATCCGGAAAACAAAAGTAACATCCTTGTTCTCCTGTGGTATTCTTAAGAATAGCTGGAGAAGAAACAAGTGATCCCATAAGTACTCGCGTTGTTTTTGGTGGGTTGCTAATCACATTTCGTTCTTCTCGACCATCTTCAGACCAAAGTGTAACATGAAGGACGAAAAAAGGATTTTGCAACATTCTAATGTATATTTATATAAAAGAACAAATGATTTCATTACGAATAAAATTATCAGTATATTTAAGGAATATAAAAAAATACATGTTAGTAAATGCACACAACCTTAAGTTCGTGCTACATGTTTAAAATTACAAAAGTTATTTGTTCAAAAATAATTAAATAAAATGCTTATTTTTAGAAATTAAAAATGTTATCTAAAACTCACCCAGAGTCAGGAATCCCCTTCTCATCAGTTACTACTAATTGTACGATCGGCGGTGGGTCGATCGGTCGTCGATCTTTTTCACCAAATCCACACATTCGAGCGCGCAAAGGTTGCTGACTAACTATGAGAGTGTATGTCCTGCATATGATGTTCCGATAAAATTGTAATGTTAATAAAAGATTTATAAAGATATCAATCAAGAATCATTCTATGAATATTTTCAGATGATCAGACTTCTCATAATTAAAAAACTTGGGATTAATAAGACCCGAAGTAAATATAATATATCAACAGATCAAAATAATTCATTCACATTTATATTCTTTGCTTGCAACCTTGCACACCTTTTATCTTCATCCTCCCCTGCTGTCGGTGAATCAAAGGTACCAAACCGTTCTTTTTTGAATCGTGCTTTATGTAAGATTGGTACAGTTGATTTTGCTATGAAAGTCGAAATCTTGTTCTTATCAATACCCTCGGATGTTGGTGTGTGCGCGTTAGCTTTTGATCGTTTATCCCCAAAGTCAGGTGGTGCTGGAGGGGGAACTGGAGGTGCTATGTTTGGGTTCATAGAAGCGGGGTGATATGGCATATAATGGTGGGAATGATGATAATCGTAATAAGGGTGGTGCATGTGACCAGGTGGAGGTGGAGCCATATGTGGAGGCATTGGGGGAGGATGGGGATAATAACCTTCAGGAGGAGGAGGAGGATACTCTCCACGTCCAGCACCGTGGTATTCAGAATGAAGGGGTGCGCCAGGCTGATACATAGGTCAAAAAGAAAAAATATGTATGAGAAGGAATCGTGATTATGTAGAAAGAATAATGACTCAAAGGAATAAAAAGCTTCAAATTTAAAACGAAAAAGTTTAATGCTTTACTAGTTTTTATTTATTTATATGGAAGTAAGTATACAAAATATACTAAAAATATACAATAAGGCTAAAAGGCAGAATTTTAAATGACCGATTAAATGTTCGGAAAAATATACTATCCGATATTTAAATGTCGATCATAAATTATTGTAGGTATAACTATTTATATTATATGGTATATTGCAATAAAACCAGAAAAAGTTGAATATTGGTATTACAAAAAATTTTAGGAATCAAACTTTTTTTATCATCACAATATTACCATTGTATTGTTTAGTTATTATATATTACTTCTGTATAAAAATAAATATAAAGCTAATCTATATCAGATCTATTATAGAATCAAAAAATTATAACATCATTAGAAATATTTTAAAGCAAAATAAAAAATAGCTCTTATATTTCAAATAAATGATACTCAAACACTCTTGAAGCTTATTTAAAAAAAAAAAATTATTTTATGAAATTTATCAAAAATAAAAAAAAATCATAAATGTTAGAAAAGAAAACAATATAAAAGTATGCTATTATCTAATAAATGACAAAAATCTTTGAAAGAAAAATAATCTTATTATTACAATATTATTTTTTTTAATACTGATAAAAAAATCCTCTTTATGCAAATGTAATTAATAATTATTATATTACATTGCTTAAAAATAAAAAATTGTAATTTAATATTCAAAAATATATTTATAAATCTTATATTTCTCTCATTAATATTGTAATAATACAAATAACCTTATCTTTTATTAGAATATTATAAAAACATCATCAGTTTATTTATTTTTATGTAAAAAAGATTCAAATAATAAATCCTTTTAATAATCAATTTTATTTTGATTTAAAAAAAACAAATAAATCAATTTTTATTTATAATAATATTTTAAAAAAGTACTTATATTTAATAATACATTTTTTTGCAGATTTTTAATTAGATTCTTACTTGTTTTTTATTTTACTATAATACTTTAAAAACAATTCTATATTATAAATGAAAAATTTGATCAAATAATTGATAAAATAGAACTAAAGAAAAGATAAAATAAACTAACTTACTTATAATAAAAAACATTCACATAAAGTAAAAAATCTATAGAAAAATTTTAAGAAATTATTTAACAAACTTTTGGTTGAATTCTGATTTTTTATTTGATAAAATGATCAAAAAAAGTTATGAATAATTTGGTGAGAAAGAAATTATTGCTTTTATTTTTTTTATTAATGAAAACAAATTCTAGAAGAAAATACTAAAGATAATTTAGTAATATTCAATAAAAAAAGAAGAAAATAAAAAATAAAATTAATGAAAATAATGAAAAATAAAGATAAATAATAATAATATTATTATTATTTAATAATAGCAATAGTAATAATAAAAGTTTAATTTTTATTAGAGTGTCTATAAATTAGATAATACTTATAAATTGTTTTAAGTTTAGCATATTTTCTCTCATACAAATGCTTTGACAATTTTTTAACATAGATTTTTATTTAATTTTCTTTATTATAAATAGAATGTAGCAATCTTAGAAAAACAATTTAGATTGTAATTTAATTATAAAGTTAATCTTAATCTAATCTGAAAGTTGAGATTAAATCAGATAAAATTAGACTAGATTAATTCTAAAACTAATCTTGAAAATTGATCTATATAGAATTACAATGCATAATAATGCATTATAATGTAAATTATTTTAATCACATATGACTTAGATTAGGTTATGAAGGTAATTTTATAGTTTGTCAGTAACTTTATAATATAATGATAACTTCATAGTCTATCGGTAACTTCATAATATAATGGTAACTTCATAGTCTGCTAGTAACTTATTAATATAATGGTGATATCATAATTTAATTACATGATCTAGTGGTAACTTCATAACCTATTATTTATAATCTGATAGTGACTTCATAACCTACTTATGGGTATTTTCTTTGTATTTATAGCATTGTTTTAATCATTTTCTGTATATGATGATGATAATTTCATAGTCTAATAATGATTGGAAATGCTTTATTTTAATAGTGATATTATGATCTAATGGTGACTGCTTTCTTCTTGTTTTAATTCATTTACATAATAAATTCTACATTGTTGTTATTGGCTTTCTATCCTTATTTGAATGCCTGATTCCATATTAAGCTTACTGACTATCTGTGTTAATTTGGTTACCAGTTCTATGTTAAGAATGCATGCTATTTAGTTACCTTTAGGATGCCAAAATAATGTAAAAAAAAAGGTGACAGGTGGCACAGTAAATTTGTGATTAATTTCAGCTGATATTTTGGCTGATATTTTGGGCATGTGATTTAAAGATCCAGCTTGGTGTCATGATAGCATTGTGATAGTGTCCTGCTAGTATTATAGAACTGTTATAGAACTAGCAGTGATCCAGAGAGGTTCTATTAGTTCACCAGCTTGGATGCTGAGTTATTGCGTCTAAAATTCTGACTGAAATTATAGAATAGTGCTGGCAGAATTTATCAGATCATCGTAATTTATTACACTTTAAGTGTCTTAGTAGCTATTAATAGCTATTAGTTATCAAATGTAATACCATGTATCTTGCTTATAATTTTAGATCAGTCTAATTTATATTGCCATTCTCTATTGCTACTACTTACTTGTATTCATTTACGGTTAATATCTATTTGTGAGAATTTTTTACTAAGAATATTACTATTTAATGCATGCTTGTTATTTTTATCACACCAAGTAAAATAATTCTGATATAAAGTAGTATAATACATTTGTTTATAAAGAATGTCTTCAAATCATATCAAAATATAATCCATTATGAATCAATCAGCATTAAAATAAGACACTTCACTAGAGCTTACTATCTTATTCTACTTTCCAATCTCCTGACAACTAATTGCATTTTTAAGCCTAGTATTTTCATCTCTAAGCTTATTAACTTGTTCTCTTAATAAATCAATCTCTAATTGCATATTTAAAAACTTGCGAATAAATGTAAGTTCAAATTGCAGATTAGTATTTTATAATTTCAAAGAATAACATTTAGAATCCATTAATACTTTATACATTTTGGAATAATTATTTTTTGCATATTTCAATACTAAAAAATTCACAATACAATTAAATTGTACTTGTCTTAGTACACTAGAATATCTCAGAAAACTAAGACAGATTTCTAGGACAGGTTTTAATATAGAAAAAAGCTTTTTTCTTCATTTTAACTTGTTTTTATTTATTATGTCCTAGCGTTCTAGTAAAAAAGTAAAATTCTTGAAAAATTTTATTGTTTTTTTTATCGTAAAAAATTCCTATAATGTATTACACATATATCATATATATAGCGATATATACCAAAAAAAATAAAAAAGGTAAACTCAGATTTTTCTTAATACGTCTAGAATGTCTAGGATAAGTAATTGAATTCCTTTTAATTTGACTTAAAATTACTATTTAGCTATATTTTTCCGTCCTAGAAACCTATTCTAACTCATTCCAGAAAATAAAGATGTGTTTTTCTAGAATAACTGGTGATAAAATTGTATTATTTTACATCGCTTCTATCTATACTTAATTACTCACCAGTTCCTGTGTCAAAGTAAGTCATCCAGCTTTTTCTGATAGTACTATTTCAACTATTCCATTTTACAGTACTTTCTAACATGAATATCACAAGTACCATATTTGGAAAAGGTTAATTTACTGCATTCATTACAAGAATCCTATTCATTTTTAATTTGTATTTGTTCCTAATCCGTTGGTCAAAATATTTACTGAATTTTGATTGGTTATTTGAGAAGATCAGGATCAGGAATAACAGAACTGCAAATTTTTGGATCCATCATATTTCATTATAAAAAAAGGAATAGGAACATTATGGATAAGAAATATACAGAGCTAAGGTATATGTGAGAAAGAATTTCAATGAATTTGGTATCCTTCTGATCAGTAGCATCCTTGATTGCAAACTTCACTATTCCTGAAAATATAAAAATATCGATAAAATGCTATTTTTTAATATCTATGATTAGTTAGTTTATATATAAATTTATATATTTCAGAATTAATTTTCATTTTAAACTTTTTTCTCCCAGAATATATACTTTCTCTCAAACTATATATTTGTGACATATTATGATGATCTAATCTGAGCTTTCAGAGTTCCTTGACACCTTTACACTTTTTTACCTAGAGATTGAAAAAGATAAAATGAAAGGCCAAGTGATTCATTATCCCAGTGAAAACTACTTGTCGAATATTCCAACACTAAATGATATAGTTATGGGAAATGATAAGAGCTTAATACCAATTCTTGAAGATGCTCTATCTAATAAATAAGACATTCCATTCAAGGCTATTGAGAATGAAGGGTTAACTGAAAGAATAAATAAAATGTACTGCTATGTATTGCATCTTTATAGTTGCCTTATTAATGGCCAAAAGGCATTGGTAACTCTTATAGGCATTCAGATTTTCTTTGACATTCTCATACCAGTTGAAGAGATTTTAGATGAATGTGAAGAAGAGGTGAGCGAAATTCTCTCTAGTATTGTAAAATCATTTAAAATGGAGCACATTAAAGCTTTTCCTTTTCAGGATTATCATATAAAAAAAAAGTCATATTTACAAATTTATACGAATGGTATTGGAGAGAGAAAGAAAGACATCCAAGCTATCCAAGAAATAATTTCAAAACCGCTTTGGATGATTTATATTCATTCCACCAAAAGGTAACTCGAAAAATGAAATCCAACTTTCTGGATGATTTATAATAAACAAATATATATGTAAGAAAGACAAGCAGACCAGCCCACTTATCCGTACAAATTCTATATATCTATAAAAGATTTCTGTCTGCTAGAAGATCTTATAATAATAAGTGACTGATTTCCTATTTCAGATTTCTTATGAGATCGTACTCTTATCTTTACTTAAGATATAGAGATCCAATCACGAGAGTTGGATGAATTTGCTAAAGTCCTTGGTCTGAATTATAATGTTTTTATAATTTACATAATATTGCATTGAAAAGATGATCCAAAACCATTAAAGCAAATATGTCTTGTTAATGTTGAGACAGAATCAGATTCATGGTGGATTACAATCATTTGCGGAAATCAAGTAAATTTGCTAAAAGCTTTCGCTCTCTGCTGGTGAGTATTTGCCCTGACATCCAAGTTAGTTTTAATAATTCAGACTAAAGATGGTACAGCAATTGATTTCAAATTTACAAAATGTTGCAACATAAGCTAAAATTAGTTGCAACATATGTTGCAACATTATAAATTGCAACATATATAGATTAAAACTAATTGCAACGTAAGTTGCAATATTAAAAGTTGCAATATATTAATTACAGTTCCCATCTTTAATTCAGACTATGATTGGTATTTTATTATGAAGAGAACATATTACCTTAATATACTTGAATGGACGTGGAAGCAAATGATAGAAAAGTTCAAAACAAAAGAAAAAATTCTAAAGTGAAAATACTATAAAAAAATAGGAGCGAAATCTGAAAATGATTTTAAGAAAAATAGAACTGTTAAGACTCCTAAGAAAGGGAAGGGAGATCTGAAGAAAAAGGAATATTTGGAAGACCAATTAAGGTCAAAATTACTTTAGATGTAAATGATGATTTTATTTCTAGTTTTCTTAAATTACCTGATTGTATGCTAATTGACATTCAGATGTGTCTCAAAAAACGTTTTCACTATTCTGAAGTCGAAAAGGAAGGCTCACTTAAATTCTTTTTACAAAAATGCAGTTTTGACAGTAAGGCTGATATGCCATATGATAAATATGAAAAATCTATTCAGAGGCAAAAAAAGCCTCTCCTCATCAATCACGAAAAATATGCGTGAAATAACATAATACTGTATTATAGACGCATTACAATATCAAGAGCTTTTGGTAAACCAAAGTATAATAAATGATTATAGAGAAGTTGCCTCTATAGCTTATGTTTCTCTTTTCGATACACTTTATCACGCAAATGGAATGAAGATACAGAACCTTTTCAGCGCATATGCTATCAAATGAGATATGATAATTAGTATAAGAGTTCCTGATAATATAGAAAAAGGAAATATTCTGATGCGTATTTATTTCCACCTAAAAAAGGAATTGAAAGAGGAAGACCTATAACGGGATTGGATTTTGCTTCATTATATTCCAGTATTATCATGGCATATAACCTCTTTCCAGAAAAATTTATATTTGATCTAAAGGATGCTGATATTACGTAAAAAAATGGAAATAACTTGCATAAGATTGAGTTTTCATTTAATAAACATATCATCTAAGCTTGATGCGTCTACCATAATAGCCAAATGGAAAAGAAAGGCCTATATCTGGTTGTATTAAAGGATTTATTTAACAAAAGGCTGAAGCTTAAAGCATGTCTAGCCCTATTAGGAAAGAAAAGCAACATCTTGGAAGATGATAAATTCAGCTAAAGAAAGAAGCAAAAGGATTTTGAAAAGCTTAAATTTAAAATACTTATCCATATGCTTCAATTACGATTATTGGGATTCAAAGCAAAAAACTTTAAAGGTATATATGAACACTTTTTATGGGAAGTGAGAAACAGGAAATCTCCAATCTTTCTTCACGAATTAGCCTGTAGAACTACTACAGTAGGAAAATATAATCTTAATCTTGTTGTTGAATTCGTATTAAAGAAAGGGTTTGTGATAAAATATGAAGATACCGATTCTTTGTATCTCACCTGCCCAGATATATATTATGAGAAATGTGATGAAGTCTTCTCTAGAAAAGAACTTTCTAAAGAAGCGTACTAAACCAAAATGGTCAAAATTACTACGAATGTGATGAAAAAGTTACATGATCAAGTAAACACTTATCTTAGGATAAAAAGTGAAACGTCTTATCTAAATATGACATATGAAGAGGTATTATTTCCTGTCTGCTTTACTGGTAAAAAGAAATACTTTGGGGTTGGGCATGAAGAAGTAATAAACTTTAAGCTAAAAAAACTTTTTATGAAAGGGATAGATACTGTAAAGTAAGGTAAATACCAGTTTTTTAAATTATTGGAGAAAAGATTATGAGGGAGGCTATAGATATAAATAATACATACTTAATTTACGAAATTGTTAAAGATACTCTTAGAGAAGCTTAGAACAAGAAATAGGATTTTAATGAATTTATCGTAATAGGAATATGGAGACCTAAAAAAGAAATCTTTGTAATAATCACTTTATGAGACGTATGAGAGAGAAAAATGAGAGGATTCTTGATCCCAGTGAATGCTTTAGCTATATTATTGTAAAAGGTTCACCTCTCTATAATAAAGAGGATAGAAAGGAGCCATATAAAGTTGGTGATTTTATGGAATATGCAGACATCGCAAAAGAGCAAAATTTGAAAATATATATTAATTATTACTTAAGAACAACAACAGCAATATGTATATGCTTTATCAATAAAAATGATAACTATCAATCACCCCTATCAGATAGAATAATGCAGATCAAGTATTCAGATAAAAGGGAAAAGCAGATTGATGAATATTCTCAGAAAAAGACAAAAATTGGCTTATAAAATATATCAAGAGCCTTCAATAAACTTTTTAGGTATTTCAATCATTTGTCTGAAGCTGATATAGATAATATCATTGAATTATACATCAGCATGTTTGGAAAGTGATGATTTACATAAAAATACGTGTTGATCAACACAAATCTGTAAACTAACGTGATACATTATGTTAAACAATAGCATATACTAGCATTTATCAACACATACTGTTTGTAAACATGGTTTTTAACAAAAAAAGTTGTTCAATGCGTTACATAGTGTTATGCAACTCCATATACTAACAGTATATATTTTATTTAAAAAACTATAAAAACTTTTTTTTTATAAAACTATAACTATTGATATATTTTAAAACATATATATATTTACAAAATATTCGTCTTGTTTAGCACGCTTAATTATCTATATTAATTCTATAATTGACTCTACCGGTACAAAATTATATGTATTCGTGGTTTTCAATAAGAGATAATCATATTTGTATAAATGTCATCTATCATTTTTATAGCGAAAATCATACCATTGTACAAATGTAAGGTTAAATGAATAATTTTGGATTTTAATGTTAATCAACATAAGAACCTAAATGTAAAACAACTAAGTTTATTATTTATTATTGTGACTATTATGATATGAAATTCCTACTGAATAGTAAAAATACATATCTTGCCAAAACATGACCTTCATCTGTATTATATTCTCCAATTTCTTCTTCACTCATATTAATGGATACATCACTAAATGATGGTTCATTATAATACAAACTCTTTGCTCTAATATAATTGTTAGAAGCTACAATAGTGTGGCTATACCAACTAATTTCTGTGTAATTAGTGACTATTTCTTCAGTCAAATTGTCACATAAATCAAGAAATTCATTTAATGATGAAATAAAATGTTCTAATGCCATCAAAGATTCTTGGGTCAAGGTATATTTTACCTTATATTCATCAAAAAACTTTTCAAATCCTTTCAAAGAAAATTTATCCAACAAACTGTTCATAGTTTTTTTTGATGGCGTTTATTAATATCGACATTATGTTTATGCAAGTATTTAATTGTCAAATTATGGTAAACTGTTTTAATCATTTGATCAGTTGTTTTGAGTTTATTGCTGGCTCTATACGGTTTTTTAATAGAATCCTTATGTAACGATTCGTAGGTTTCTATCATAAACCCGCTAATTGTACCATATTCTTTAATTGTTGATATAATGTGGTAATGCTAATTATGTAATTTTGGTAATTTGAGTTCTGACAGTGAATAATTTTCAAAGAGTTTTACAAAACATATTGCTCAATTTGAAATTAAATCCTACGCATAAAGTAAAATACGTTAATTGATGATTAATAATACACATAAAATAAAAACACATTGAACATAATATTGTTATACCTTAAACTTTTCTAAATCTGACTCTGAAAAGCATTCTCGCTGACTATATAAATACATTTTGTTTCAACAATAATAAATATCAACTAATGCATTATTATAACATTTGGTAGTGTTTGTTTCTATCAATCGTTTATTGTCCGGAGTGAAGCGAAGGACTATATAATTTTTACGAGCATTAGTGATGATTGTGATTACATGTGATTTTCAGATGTCTCCACGCGCACGTCACTAAAAATCATTGATAAATAAACAATATACAATGAAAATGGTTGTGTAATTTTGATAATAATCAAATTTGTATTACGTATGACAAGCTAGTGTGATGAGAAGATTAGGTTATAAATTAAGTTTATTAGTAAAAAATGTATGTATTTACGAAACATTTATTCGACATTCTCTCTAGCTCTACGTTTTTGAAGAATTTTACGGCTTGTAAATTTATTATCCATTATATGCTAAAGAGAAATTCTATTAGTAGCTTGTATTTTTGTCAATTAAACATCGTACAATGCGATTATCAGCATATTAAATTACTGGATTTATTTTTAGTATTACATTTTAGAGTAAAA